ATAAGGTTAACTGAAGTTAAAAGAAATATATTGTGTTTAAGCCAAAGGAACTGATTTTTGCTGGTAAATTTCACATTTTGTGACAGCTGGGCCAAGAACTATTTTGGGGCAATGAGATCTGGCATTCATTGACTTTTACTCTACAACTATTTATAAGCCAAATTATGGGTGGTAATTCCATACAACTCTTTTTTCCAGGAATACTCCTACATGTTAAAAATGTTTGAGAAAACAAGCAATTGTATGAAAGAAAACAAAATGTGAATTTGAAATTCTACAATTAGCTATGCTACAACAGTATATAGTCTTTCTCTACTATTATTAAAGATTTCATGTCTTATAAGTACTTAAACTTCATGAAAGTGGGTGCTTAGAACAAGGTTAAATCTGGTCATGAGGAAATAAGAGATTCCAGTTCCTGAGAGAGAAGGTCCACAGCGGCTCCAGTGAGGGAAGGTGCGCTGCCAACCACAAAGGAAATCATCCTTTTCTATGAAACTGGAACTCTTTGGGCAGTGGGTTGGAAGAAGCCATAAAGCAGATCTGAGTACACCTAAATTTTTCCAATGTATTTCTGAATGGACCAGCTTTACTTTAGTTCATTATTGTAGTAACCCACTAAATCATACTAATTCATTTGTTTGTAAGCATTTATGGAGTAAGTTACTTTACAAGTGGCATCTGCATGGATTTTTGGAGGTATCTAGGTGGAAGTGGCAGTAGGTAGGAAATATACATACAAAACAATTACAACACCTAGGTGACTAAGATCCCTAATGAAAGTATGGATTAAGTACCAAGAAAGAGTAGAAAAGGACATAAAGAAACAACTGGAAGAAGCTAGTTAAAGCTTCATTATAAGAGTAATGTTGGACTTTAGAGGAAAAAAGTGTGGCTGGACTTTAGGGGAAAAAAGTGTGGCCATGCACTAAAAGGCAGCAATATTTTCTAAAAGTGGGAATAGCATATACAAAGATATGTGGCAAGCGCTGGGGGAGTAAATGATACTGGAACAAGGGGAGACAGGGAGACGGCAGTGATGGCCTCATATATCATGTTAAGTTGTAACAGGAAAATGATACAATTTAAATTCTGTGCGAGAAAGATGAACTCTGCAGACAGTGAAGAGGATAAACCTGAGAGAACCAGTTGTGGGCAGACTAGTATTCTAGTTGCTACAATCAACTAGATGAGGAATGATCAGGACTTGAGAAAATGCAATTAATTATTGAGAACGGGGTATAGGGAATCAGGAGATGTTTAGGCAGCAGACAACAGAATTTGGTGGCAAAGTGAACGTGCCAGGTGAAAAAGAACAAGGGAAAAGGAACAAAGCTGAAATTACTTAAGTTCATGAACTGAATTAAGACAGAAAATACAGAGGAGCGTGGAAGACTTTACTTCCAAGAGAGGGAAAAGTAAAGAATTTGGGAACGTGACACTGGATCTCAGGAGAGAGATGAGCATGCAAATATTTGGATGTTATTTGGGGATAGTAGTGATTAAAGGTTATGAAAAGGGATGGTATTTCCTGGAAATTACCTAGAGGTAATCTTCAGAGCAGTCACTTAGGGTAGCTGGTAGCCATAATACCTGAAAGAAATGGAGCAGAAATAAAGAAGCAATAGAAGGGAAAGAACCTAAGAAAAGGCTTTACGAATGAAGGGTGAACAGTATTAAATGATAAAAAACAAACAGAATACATATCATAAAATTTGACTGCCTTTGTCACTGGTGCACTTACTAACCTTAGTAAGTCCTAAAATAGTTACTGTGTGATCATACGGTTATGTCTCAGCATCTTTGTATAGAAAGATGTTTATTTGATACATAAAGCTGCTTAGCATCATTCCCAGACCTCCGAACATAAGCTTTCCATCTCCCTCCCCATTTTCGAAACAACATTCATAAAGTCCTCAATAGGTAACATGCATCACATAAATTTTTAGGATATGTTTCCTATGTTCAATGGAGGAAAGGCACATAAACAAAACATAAATATATATGAATATGTAAATAATATAGCACAATAACTATCTTTGGGCATGGCAACAGGCTATAAGGTTCAACAAGATGAGTATGGTATTGACTGTAAAAGCTTTTAATACCTGAAAAAAAAAAAAAACCCAAATCCAAAATTCCCTGATAACACACAGAAGAAAATGCTTTTACTTTCTAGGAAGATGGAGAAGACCATAGAGAAAAAGCAACTGAACTGTTGTTATACTGATGGATATAATCATACTAATCATATACACTATACAAGGCTTAGATTAGTTACTGACACTGCACTAGGTATTCCACATGTTATTAAATTTATTCCTCACAAGAACGCTGTCTCTGAAGTCAGTACTACTGTCTGAGTTTATCTGAGGAAGTTTTCCCCACAGAGGGGAAGTAACTTGCCTACAATCTCACAGGTAATAAGTAGGGAACAGGCATTCAAACCAGGACTTTCTGACTTCATTACACAGCCTGTTTTCTGTCCTGTGTGCTACACTGACTCTCACAGGTTCTCATGCGGGAAAGGGCAAAAGGCTCCAAGCAGGGGGATCGATGCAGGCAATGGCATTAGCCTTGAAGGGCACAGCCCTTCCGAGGAATGAGACGGTGTAGTGTGGAGAGAGGTGCCAACAGGATATGGAACATACATTGTTCTTTCGCATGTATGATTTCGTCTTATTCTCATAAAAACATCACGAGGCAAGAGTACCTTTGTCCACGCTAGCATGAGGTCTTAAGATAAAATGTCCGAGTCCACACCTACATAATGTCAATCCAAAGCCTGAGCTTTTAAACAACTGTGCTATATTATTGAAGACATGGAATTATATTTCTTTATTTTTATCATGATCATCTATTGGTTTTAAAGCAAAAATGTGGTCAAAAATAGACCATTAATTTAGTAGCTGGAAAACTACTGGTGATTTTGCAAAGAACAAGTTCAGTGTAAGAATCAGCCACAGTAAAATAAGTAGCAGAGGAATGAATGGGAATTGAAGTTAGTGATAGTGATTAAAAGTCAGTTACTGAAGAAATTTGGCTGCAGAGGGAAGGAAGTGAGTCAAACCTCTTTAGTTTTAATTTTGAAATGCTTGGAATACTGACATATTTTCAAAAGACTTCCAAAATGTTCACTAATAACAGTAATTTCAGACTGCAGAGAAAAACATAATATCATCTTACAGTCTTCTTAGTTGGTTTCTCCTTAAGGATAACATTCACCTTAAACCAAGGAAAACAGATTGACATCCACATTACCTTCAGTGAAGATACACTCTGCCTAAATTATGGCAGTTTAAAATGAAATCTAATGAACTGAACTAGGGAAGAAAAGCTTGCTCGTGTTTCATCTAGGTCTTGTGGGAAATCATAATATGAGATTTAACATTTAAATTTAACACTTAACTCTTGTAAATAACATAACTGTTGTGCATAAATCTGATCCATAGATTGGTGTCATTTCATTAAAAAGTTTTCATCTGTCTGGGATTAAATGTGCAAAATAAGGATGATATATAAACATTGTCCAGCAGTTAATATACTCCAAGCATTCTCTGAGGTGATGTTTAGTCTACTTTTTGGTACACAAAAGTTCTTTTGTTTTCCACAAAATGGTGATAATTGATGAGAGCTAAAAATTAAAAAATAAAAAGTTGACATTGCTATTTTTGGAAAACCAAATTGGAAAATAAAAAAATAAAAAATAAAAAGTTGACATTGCTATTTTTGGAAAACCAAATTGGTGTCTGGAAACTACTGTTTTAAAAATTTTAGTCACGGATAGAAATTGAAGGATTATGTGTAAATAAAACTTTGTAATTACTCGTAGACTTTGAGCAAACAAAACTAAATCAGGTCCTGACTGTCAAAAGTTACCGATTGTGATTTACAATGAAATGCAATACATCATGGCTCTTAGACTGTTAGGTACTTTTTGAATAACTAGACAGTTTCTGATTTGAACATAAGCCTAATCATTAAATCTAAAAAATGTGTAATATTTATATAGGTCAAGAGTTTAAAGGTACATTGGTAGCAGAGATTAATATACACAATCTGTAAACTGTTTTAAAATAGTTTGGACTAGTTTCACCTGATTTTAGGTCAGCAATTGAAATATAATTTCAGAGATGTTGAAGAAGTGGTTGAGAGGATTTATTCTGAAATGAGAAGCAGCAGGAAGTAAGAAACATTGAAGTGAGCACTGCTTCATACTGTAACGCTCAACAGAAAGATTATGGAAAAAGGCATGTATCAGAAAGTCAAGGTGGTTTTGTGAATGCTGTAGTGCTATTAACAATATATAAAGAAGGTTAAAGTGACAAGTTCTTTTATATTAAAATTTCCTTAGAAAATTCTGCTACAGTGTTCGAATTCCATCAATTAATAAGTGACACCTTTGCCTGGTAAATTGTTAACATTCTGCTAGCTGGCATAAAGAATGGCTGATTATGCAGCTTTATTTAAATTTTAATAAAAATGCAAAGATCATTCAAAATAAACAAATATAATTATGCACTGCAAAAAGCTGTATTGAATACTTCAGAAGAACAACACATGAAAATTAATTTCACTGTACTGGATTCTATGCATCTAGAGGCCTCAGATTGCAAGGTCATAGTTGATTTCAGCAGGATTATCATGGAGCTAAATGAGGACAGGTGGTAACTTGACTGTCTCTTCGTCTTACAAATAACTTTGCCTATTAATATGGGTGTGTGGAAGAATTTAATAGTATGGCCTCCATAAACTGATAAAGATCAGTTATTAAATAAAAAGTCTATCCTAAGCAGTAAAAATTATCCCCAAGAAAATGATTTTTTGATCCCAAACATGGATGATGATTTGTGACCTAAAAAAGCTCATTGGTTTAATTTTTGTTTTAAATCACTTACAGTATAAATGATACTGCATATAAATTGTCTAGTTCTCAAAAGAATAAGAGGGCTTGTGCTTTGTTTTGTGTTTTTGAAATATTCCGTGATCATTTTACTTACTTCTGAACTTTCTCATTGGCGACCTGGGCGGCCTGCACGGCACGCTGAAGCTGTAATTCCATGTTTGCTTGCTCTGCCAGGGCTTGCTGCAGTTGGGTAGCCAGTTCTTCGTTCTGTTGTTGAGTGATGGAAACAATGCTCTCTCTATTTTTCAAAGCTTCTTCATAGGTACTAAGGGTATGGTTAAACTGATCCTTCAGGTTTTCTTCTTGAGATAAAGATTTGTGTAAACTGAGAAAATACAAAAAGAATTTAAATACAAATAAGTTAGGCTGACCCATCAATGATCCATTTTTTTAAATGATCCATTTAATAAAAATCTCCATTTAGAAATCTCCACTTCTCAAAATCAATACAGATGCTTAAATGGGTAAATGAAAATAGTATTTATATCACAATAGTATAATTGATAATTATTCCATAACTCAGCTTGTAGGCTTAAAGCTACCCAGACAAATGATTATCTATGCTACCAAAGCACACAGAAAGATACTGCAAGATGTTAATTTAATTATATCAGTGTAAATATTACATTCAATTTTCTTTAAAGGAATAGCAGAGAATTGGAAAATAGAGTATCTCTAGGTAAATAAAACAATATAATAAGCCAACTTCAAAGAAGTGGGAAGTGAGAGAACGGCCATTAGTTTAGGAAATCTAGGCTCTATTCTGCTAAACATTTAATGAGAACGAATGAGGTTTGTGCAAATACCGACCAGTCTTACACACAGAATTTCTACTTGTCACAGTTCAGACATAAATGAAGTTAAAATCACTAGTCAGATTGCACAGAAATAATATATATTCATATATATATATATATACACACACATTTTAATGGTTAATGAATCTTATTCCAAATACATGCACTTATTAAGTCATACAGAGAAATAGCATATAAATTAAGACTAAATGAATGCAGAAGAAAATGCAGATAAATAGAATCCTAAAATGCTAAAGGTCAAATCTTTGATATGTCATTACACCTACCACCTGAGGTTATTTTGAAATGGCACCAAGCACCTCACTCAATTAAATAAAGACATTTTGAAAATATAAATATTTAATAAGGGAAATTTAAAATCCACTAGGAGATGTTCTTTTTTTATTAAATAAAATCATTTCAGTATATGCATACAAAGGAAATGGGAACTGGAGACTTGAAGTACAACAACCTAACTATATAATACAGATTGATCATGTAAAAGAAAGCAATATAAGTTTTAATGATGTAAAAAGCTAGTCAGAGAATTTTCGATGGGCCTAATACCTAGGCTGTTACTTTATCTAAAGCTGTTCAAATTAGAATCTTTTTCTTTTAAAGTTATCTATAAGCCTTTCCAGTGTTTCACTTTGCAGTAGGTGTCATATAGAAATGAAATGCACACAACACAAGGACAGTTGATAAATCAAACAAAATCATTTCAAAATTCAATTTAGTCCCTAAGAATAGAGAATGTTGCTAAAGTCTGGTGGGCTGTTTACTACTTATAAAATTAGAGTGATGTGTAGATGGACATTTGACTTCTCTTAAAGTCTTAAAATGCCTTGTTCAAAATGCCTTGGGATCCTTTTACTTTCCATCAAAATGTTCTCAAATCAGAGCCATAACTGCAGTGAACTTTTAAAAAAGCAACTAGATAATATCACTTAAAATCCTGCAATAGCATCTCATTGAACTAAAAAAAAACTCTAAAAATAAAAAAATGACATATTTTGATTTGCTAGACCTCAGAACAACCTGTTGGAGAAGTTCTACTATTTCTTTTTTATTGAGGAGGAAATCGAAACAGAGGCAGGAAAATTAACAACCTCATCATTCCTGCAGAGCCAGAAGGTAAACGCAGCCTTCTTCTCCAAGCTTGGTGACTCCTGTGTACTTGCCCTGGACTACAGAGCTCTGCATAACGGCCTTTCTCCCGGCTCACCTTTCAGCCAGGTATCAGTTTCTCAAGTACGCCAGCCTTTTTGCCTGGTTAAGGAAACTGTTTGTATTGCTCTTACCTCTGATTCAATCTGACAAACTCCTACGCATCCAGTAAGTCACAGCACAAATACCACTTTCTTAGAAAACTTTGTCCCTCTTCAGATCTAAATTTTGAAGCTTTCTCTTAATGTTAGTATCTCTTATTCGTTACTCCTTAGAACTTACGATAATTGGCAAATTGTTTGCAATTTCATTTTGGGATATAGTTCCCACTGCCAAAGTATTAATACTCCATTTATATCAGTCAACTCTATTTTCTGAGGACATATTCCTTAAGAGCTTGAATAAATAGAAATACTCACAGTTCTTAGGGAAGTTTCCTATTGGAAATAAAGGTTATTCCTTTATTTCCTATTGGAATTCCTTTATTCCTATTGGAATAAAGCTGAAGTAGGGAGAGTATGTTTCCAGTATAGATGAATCTATACAACCACGGAAGCCCATTTCTGGGGTTAGTGCTATTTCCACTCAGCGAGTACTTTTTCTTCCCTACCTGACTCCTCAGACCCAAAGTTTAGCTTTCTTCAGGGAGCCTTATCACGTTTAACCTCTTTCCAAAGTGACTTATCTTTGGACACATTATTAGGCATACCAACAGCATTACAACTTAATGACACTTAAATTATATGGGAATGTTTGAAATGACAATAAGAATAAATGATAAAATCATAGCAGAATCAACTGAATCACTCTTAGAAGTTCAAACATGTAATAGTGCAGCTCACACAATATTCACATAGAATGATAACTTCTAATTACTGTGAAGGTAATATAATATTTTTACTTAGTAATATCTCACATTATTGTATTTATGATTCAATCAAATAAGACTATACATTATCTCCTATGCTATGCTGCTTGTCACAGTATTTTTTTTTCTGTGTGATCACATTAATTTTAATAGAAGGTCAATGTAGAAAATGCCTTTCAATAGGAGCTACTCTGCTCCAACAAGTAGCATGTAATAGATTTTTTTTTTTCTGTACTGGTGATTGAGCCAGGGGCCTTTACACTGAGCTACATTCCCACTCCTTTTCATTTTCTAATTTTGAGACAGGCCTTTGCTAAATTCCTGAAATGCCCAGATTAGGCTTAAACTTGTGATCCTCTTGCCTCAGCCTCTTAGAGGGCTTGGATTACAGGCACTGTACCATCATATCTGGCTAAAATTTCCTTTGTGTAATGGTTTTTGTCTTAGTTGTTTTTGTTTTTTTTTTTTTTTGTCTTAGATTTGATGTCTGTTAGTCTACTGTCACTCATGTCTGTGGCCCTACCTTCCTAGACCCTCACTCTCCGTACTTTATCAGCTTAAAATATCTGGAACCTATCAGGCTTATGACCCACTTAAATATTTTTCTTGCAGGTATTTGTAATCTCCTCAACTTATCCACTTACCCATTTGTGGAATGCACTGTCTCTCAGCTGTAATGTCACACATGAATTAAGCTTATTCTTCCAACTGGTAGTTTTCCATTTATATCAAGTTTTGATGATATTTAGCCTGATTTCCGCTTTTGTCTTCAAGATCAGTTATTACTCAATGCCTTACATTAGGTCATTTGAGTCACCATCCTCTATATACACTTGCTCTTCTCTATGTGCTTCACCTATTTTATAGTTGCTTAATCAATTGTGTTCTATACATAAGTTGTTTAATTGAATGAATTAGTTTTAAATTGGAATTTAGAGGACAGGTGCTATAATATAAAAAGTTCTTAACTGGGGTATTTCTGTCCCTCAGAGGACATTATGCAATATCCACAGACATTTCTGGTTGTCATAACCAGAGGGATGCTATTATTCATTTAGTTGAATGAGACCAGAAATGCCACTAAATATCCTCTAGTGCAGAGTACACTCACAGTAAAGAACTATCCAGTCCAGTATATATCAACGATGTTGTTAAACTTGGAGTAGACGAAAAGATGGTGGGTTTCAGTGAGAAGATGTACATTCAAATTTGAGTCTTGTCATTCACTCATACTTTTGAAAAAAATACTTTACCCTCTGAACACTAATTTCCTCCACTCTAAAACAATGACAAAAAACTCATGAGTTCATATGAGAATGAAATAAGGTAACGTACATATGTGAAAATATCTAGCACAATATCTGCCCAAGAACAGGTATTCATACTTGTATCATTTTTAAAAGAAATTATTTATATCTAATTAACTTTATACAGTATCTTATACATCACCCAGACATTTTGTAAATACTTTGCTGAAAAATAATTGCCTGTTTCTACAGGTTTTCCATGAATTGGGTGAAATAAACCAGTTTTCTCAACCTTTATTCACTTACTGATAACATTCTTAAATCATTCATTAAGAAAAGAGGCAGGTTTAGCTTGTTTTACTGAATTAAAATAAATAAAACCAAAGCAAGTCTGAAAGGTGAAAGTATGTGTAATCTTTCTGAGAGGACAGTGTCTGATTTTACTTCCTGGTTTACTGCATCAATTAATCTGCCAAGGCCTTTCAAGCAAATAATACTTGACCTTCTCACTTAATTTTGAGGAAATTAGCTTATGTCTAATTCTGAGTGACACCCAGATAGAAGAAAATATATTCAGAATGGTTAAGAGGGTGGATGAGGAGATTTAATCGGTAATCAGTTTGGTGTTTTCACTGATTTGTTGCTTCTTTTGCTGCAGTTGATTCAGTTTAAAGAAATAACATTAAAATTATTTACTACAAATAATAATTCTTTGTTATAAAGAATAATTTCCTTGCTATAAAGAATATTAAATAATACTAAAGTTTAAATTCTTAATAATTTTAAGGTGGATATAATGGTGAACTTAATATTTACTAAGACTCATAGATACTACATTTTATGATATAAACAGGCAGTTATTAAATATTTTTGAGTTTATCAACTAGAAAAGAAAGGTATCAATCTGCACAACAATTTTTAAGGAATAATTTCAAAATATCTAACTATTAAATGTACAATAGCACTTGAAACTGATGTTGGCCACTTCCTCATTATCCAAGAGGGGATTACATGCTGCATGAATTTGGTGTCCTCAGAAGAAGAATAGTAGGATTATGTTCACAAAGCCATTTATATTCATCACTTCTTAGATTATACGGAATAAGTCATATTAAAGTTATATCATATAACACATAGATATAATTTTATGACCATGTTAAAACTATAAACAGGAGTCATGGCTGGAAATAAAATAAAAATAATACTCCCTAATATAATTGAAGGGAGACTTTTGAGAAGATGGGAG